CTGTAGGCAGGCTGCACATATATCCTTTTTAATCTATTTTCGCAGGCCGTAAAAAAAAATACCGTCAGGATAAATGTGTCCCATAGAATGAACTTTGGCCACCTGTGTTCTCATTATACTACAACGACTTTTAATATTACTGATTTGATGAGCAGCATTTGGGCTGTAACAACAAGGGGTTCTCTGGCCAAATATGGTAGGCAGGCCGCACATATAGCGTTTTCAATCTATTTTCGCAGGCCGTAAAAAAAATATACCGTCAGGATAAAAGTGTCCCATAGAATGCACTTTGGCCACCTGTGTTCTCATTGATCATACTACAACGACTTGCAGCATGCTTGGACTGATCTGACTGGAAGCCCACCTCTACAATCCCATTGGTGCCGTCTCTGGTAACATGTAATTTGGTTTTATGGATCAAACAACACAGCCAATCATATTGAATTGCATTATGTTGTAGAGGGGAGGACTAAAGTTTTGTCCAGATCATCAAATTGTTATATGACCATATTTAGGCATATGTCACATGTTTTTGTCAAATCAAATTTGGACAGAGCCTTACAAAGCTAAGAATACTGGAGGAGGTGGGGGCACTAAATTCATTTCTTAAAAAAAAAAATCCTCAAAAAAGAATGATCTTACTACTTTTAGTACAAACATTTCTTGAATATATCTAGCAAAATAAAAGGGTCTTGTATCAATAAATTAAAAGTGATACTACTTTATGCCTCTAGAAAAATATTTCCTTATACTAATTTTCAATACTAAATGCAAAAAAATGTAAATTCATATTTAATATTATTGTTCAAATTATCAGCTCAACATTACAGAAGCTAAAATTGATACATTAAAACAGGACAGAATAACACCAAAAACGTGGTGGAAAATAAATAAAATAATCTGAATTTCTCTTAAGGTATATAGAGGGAATATATAAAGTATTTAATACAAAACCTAGCTTTCCTCTGGTCAAACTAGATTATTGGACAATAAAACCTTAAAAAATGTATGTACTTTCCCAAAGAGCTAAAAAGTTAACATAATTGGATAAAAAATTAGGATGAGAGAGTATAGGAAATTATATGTCTATATCAATGAAGGTGTCAATCATTTATTATTATAAAAATCACCGTCTTATGACCTGTTGCTGGAATTTCTCATTAATAGAACTGCTCCTAATCCATTGGGAAAAGTTTTCCCTTCCCTTTAATGTATTAGTCAGCCACTGGAAGAAGATTTGACTTGGCAATTTAAAATTATTTGCCAAAAATCTATCACCATCCATGCTCATGCAGATTTAAGTTTGTGTTTTCATAGCCGATTGATTCCAGTTTGTCTGGTTTTAACTATATGCTGCCTGACATGTTAAGTGGAGAGGGAGATTGGCTGTGTACTAGTAATATTCCGGTCAGTAAAGGTACTGTCTTTAAATTGCAACTGATTTATTTTACTTTTCTGTGGTCCCAAATTAATGTCTTTTATTTTTATTATTATACTAATTAGAGTACAAAGCTACTAAAGAACATGAAAACCCTGTTTCCAAAAGTGGTCCCTAATTGGAGGCAGACCATTATTAATAAGTTGATTATTAATTTAATACTAATCATTCTCTAGTTTGTAATTTTACTGTGTTTAAATTCATAATTATTCAGTTTAACTTCATAAATCATTATTATTATTTAATACGATTTATGGACAACATTATAATTTATATTCATAAACTAATACTCAATTGATTATTTAGAAATAGCACTGAATACATTGTACATGTCCTTGATTTGTATCTTAAAATTATTCAAATTACTGTACAACGTTAATTTCACATCCATTTCGAAAATTGCATGTTCGGAGTGACATGAATTTTGAATAATGGTGTTGTGTCCTGTGATTGGTTGAACTTATCTGGTATTGCTAATTGCAAAAAAATAATAACAACCAGAAAGATGTAGATTCGTAAACATGTTTACTGCAACTTCCCACGCACACACCAGAAAGTATATAATTTTACTACCATATGTAATATGGTAAGCGCGTATGATAGTTATTACAACGGTGTTAAAAAAAAAGAGAGACATCTGTCAGTCACAAGCACAAAATAAAACAGATGCTAAAATATATGGTCTTTGCTTGGAGGAATGTTTGAAAAAAAAGATTCAAGCATGGAAAATGATAAGAAAGGAAAACGACATAGAAGAAAAAAGAACAAAAACATTGGCTTTTTCCGCTGATGTGGGAAAAGCCAAAAATCAGAACGAACATGTCTTTTACGGCCTGTAGAAGTAACCAACAGTACATGAATTTGATCTTGTAAGGTTTAGGGTAAATAAATGTTGTCTTTCTTTATTTATTTATTTCTTTATTTCATTATTTATTTATTCTTTCTTTATACAGAATATACACTTTCAATACATAGTACTGCTTTCCAAAGTGGTTCAGTTCTTAACTACAAAATAAAAGAATTATTAATTAAATTCAAAACTGTGTTAACCCATTAAAAAATGTTCTTTCTATATCTAAAAATGACAGACACTTAGATTGTCTACCTGAATTCTTTCATTTTTTAAGTCAACAAATCATGATAAAATCAAGTTCGCACTAGTTAAAAATTAAATATTTATATAAATTTCTTAGAGTAATCATGATTTTAAAATAAGAACAGACTACAGAGATTAAACAAACTTCATCTGTTATCCAACTCCAGGCTCTAGAGAATAAGTTTGTGCTAACGATCAATATAAGTTTCTAAATTCAAGATTTTGAATTTTAAATGGTGTGATTTTTTTTCTTTTTTTGTTCAGAATTTTTAAATATGTTTTTTGTGCCTGATGAATAATAAAGAGAAAACATTAACAGGCATAGACATTTAGCTGATATAGTGTTTGAAATGGTGACCCAGGGGATATATGCTGCAATAGATTATGTAACCTATATTACATTTACACTTGAGATTTCATAAACAAACTTTAATGCATTTTTAAATTAGGTAATCTTTTGTTGCTGCGAAGCAGCCAATTTATATTCTTGACAGCAATTTGACCTCTGAAAGGTCATTGCTTGTCAAAAAACAAGGGCCTAAGACGACTAAAAAGCAGAGTTTCCTTCTTTCGTTCTGCCGGGTAAAATCAATTACTTTAGGCGACGTTTGTAGACTAACCTACTCGTACCAACGTCCGCATGTCGCGCTAGCCTTATCCTACTCTAGGCCTAGACTAGCTAGGATGGTATAGGCCTAGCCTTGAAGGGACGAAGGTCCCAATGAAAAACAACGTCTCTCTTTGATAGCTAACATTGTTTATTTAACATCACAATAATTCATTATTAGACCTATAGTTGTTTTTTTAATTGTACTCCACAAATCTCAGCCGATACCTCGCACAACTCGTTAACGTCTCTATCTATTGTCGTGACGTCATGGCTCGCTGGCTCACTCACACTTGTGATGTCTCGCACTTGTGATCAAATAACACGCTGGCTCGCACTTTGGCAACACTCTTTGGCAGTCAACTCGCCCCTAGAAAACCCGCCCTTGGAAACTTGCCCCATAGAAAAATGTACACTTCCTAGACCATGCAGTCTTCAAAATAAAAATTGTAACCTTTGGTAATCAACTACATTTTCCACATACATAGAAATTTTTAAACTTTATTAAAAAAAAACCTAAACCATAATTCACCACTATAGACACTTTTTGACAAAAATTAAAAATTACGACTTTGGGGTCATGTCTCATAATATTTGTTATAGTTTTATTATTCATTATTTTCACTTGACTAGCATAAATAATTTTGTTCGAAGAACATTTATATACAGTTGTACTTCGCAGCACTTCACTTTGCAATTTCTAGTTTTAGTTTTCTTTTGTACTACAAAAAAAAAGGTTTTCTGACGTGCTATTTTCATCCATTTATTCATTCGTTCATTTGAATAATAAAAAATAAGTTATGAATGAATGTGCGAGCAAGATCATAACATGAGATTGTTGATAACACATTGAGAGTTGAACACATAGTAGTGTAATAAAACATGAGCTTGGTGATGAGCATGATCAAGGTCATAAACACAAGCATGTTTGTAATAATAATAATAATAATAATATTGATAATAATAATGCTTCGGTGACTTATAATGTTTTAATGATCGTTGTTTGATGTCATTTTTACATTGTAATTTTTATAGTTCATTATATTTGATCATTCTTTTAATTGTTTTACTGTATGATAGTGCGAGAACTGAATTTCTGACTTGGAGCAATAAAGTGTATGTTATCTTATCTAGTACATGAGCAAATTGATAACACATGTGCATGGGGATATGATGATAACAAATTGGCATAGTATGCATATGAGCATGGTAGTAACATGATTATGTTGATAACACATGACTATGGTGATGTCATGACATCTGAGCATGATAATATTAGCATGATCATAACACAAGCATTTTGATAATTCTTGAGCATGATGTTATGATAACTAATGAGCATGGTGATAAAAATAAGCAAACCACTTTGGGAATTTGATTACAAATTAGCATGTGTGGGTGACACATATGAGTTACTATTGAGCATGGTATTGTGATGACACATTGAGCATGTTAATAATCATGAGCATGAACATAAGACATGAGCATTTTGAGAACATTATCAATGTGTGGATAACACATGACATGTGGATAACTATTGAGAATGTTAATGTGATGACACGCGAGCATTTTTATAACATATGTGGATAACTATTGAGTATGGTGATGTGATAACACATGAGCTTGGTATTAACATATGAGCAAGGTGCTTTGATGGCAACAACCATGTGATAACACATGTGCATGTTAATAACTTATGAACATGAGCATTTTGATGATTATGACTGATTCATAGTTTGCAAATCCTGTGGCAGTAATGGTCCAACATGGACTTGTTGCCATGTGAAGAAGATGAAGACTATCAGAATGGTGGTTTAAGTTTTTGTTGAGAATCTGAAATTGACTGAATGTTACCAAACCTGGTCATCATGATGTAGAGATGCATAGCCAGGAATCCCTTTGGAGAATGCAATTATTTGGTTGATCGCTGGAGAGAACCTATCACTGAAGTCTTCATGTTCATCATTATCTCTTTTAACAGCCTGAAAAAATAAAAAGATTGATTGATGAAAAAAATTATACCCCATATAATACTATTAAATCATGGAATAATAATAAAATATGTGGTTCAATCTAGGACTTCTGGGTATTACTTAAATGGGTGTAATCCAAAACCTGTCAATTCATGTAAATTTATTTTCAATTTAATGACTATATAAACACTCTGCATTTGAAGCTGATATTTTTGTATTAATATTATACCAGTTTATAGTTCTTATCCGAGAATACTTTTTCCACCACCAGAACAAAGAGCGAGCATGCCGCTCCAACTAGCGATGATATTATGGCTGTCGTGTAATTTATGATTCCCCCATGAAAACATATCACTATATTTTACACCCCACCACATTTTGCTTTAAATCATGCAAAACTATTGTTGTGATGCGATCAATGTGACCCGTTTGTACTATGACACTGCCATTTCTGCTAAAAGATGTGCAGGGTGTATGAGTAATCCCTTAAAGTACAAGCTTAAAGTACATAAGGTTGTATGGTATATTGCTGGTACCATGCTACATTTCCATTGAATTTATATTTATTTTTTTACAGATTGGTAGACTCTAAAATCAAATCTCTAAGGCAGGAGAGAAAGGAAATTAATGTGGGTTTGTCCCAATCAATCAATTAATCAATCAATCAATCAATCAAAGTATTTGTAAACCGCCAATATCCATGGCAGAATGCAATGTTCAGTGGCGCTATGACATCGATATTACTCAAAGTGCACATTAAACTACTGAGGTTTACAATACCGTACTCGCGGAAACAAGCGCCCCGTTTGAATAAGCGCCTCTCTCAAATAACCGCCCCTCCTAAATCCAATCAATAATGGGACTGTGGTTGTTGGCATCATTTGATCTGCAGAGTGGAATAACATTCTTCTTAGGTCAATATCAAAATGAGGATATTTCTCTTGGAAAGATGAGAGCTCCGATCATCCCTGGACAGACAGTATTTTTCCAACTTTACTCTTTTTACAACTAGGAGTATTAATGAGTAGGTCTACGCGGTGGTTGCCTGTTCCAGCACTTACTGCATTACAGCAGCAACACTTAAAGCAAGGGGACAACTGGGGGAAAAAGCTCTGAATCTGGAAAAAAACAGGTGCTACATAAACATTTAATAAATAAACAAACAAAATAAATAAACAAAATTTAAGAAAAAAACTGAATAAATTAACAAAATAAATAAAGTAAATAAATAGAAATAAAAAAATAAATAAAATAAACAAATGAATAACATAAATAAATAGATGAATATTAACAAATAAATAAATAAATGTACCATAGATATACAGCTGTATACATCCTCCATATTCATTGTGGTGATTATCAATGTACAACCCAGGAAAAACTTCCATTTGTAAACAAACTCACATATTTTATTCAGCAATTTGAACAAATGATCATTGAACGTTTTCTCTGCCATTGGCAAAATACATGACATTACGACGAAACCTTCTCCATTCTGTTCTATCCTGGACCGAACCATTTTATATCAGCTCCAAAATATCGATCATGTCTGGTCCAAATTTTAATGTCAATCCGCTGTTGCTTTAATCAACCGTTTGTCCATTTTCCTAGTATCTTTCCCTTGGGTGAATGGACCTTTATTGATCTCCTCACTTTACAGTTCATTAACATTGCTTAGTGGTTCTGATTTCGTAATTTTTCCCGAGTGTTGAGATTTATTCTATTGCTATGAGTTCTCCAAAAATTAAATGCATTTATAATTTAGGATGTTTAAGATTTGCTTTCCATGTATCACATAAGCGTATAAAATGAAAGGTACAACTTAAGTAGGCCTCACTTGGGAGATCATGTAAAAATTGGCAAGAAACAAGTATGCTATTATGAAAATGGTTCAAGATGAATAAGAATTCTATAGATTACAGTACTTAAATTAAAGACAGAATACACTTTTTTTTATGAGAAACAGTAGAATTTTGAACACTCAGTGTTCTTACTTTTTTGCCGATTACAGGCTCAAAATGTTCATATTTTTACACACTTTTCAAACATCGAAAATTATTATTTTACAGTCAGAATATGTACTGTAATAAAGAGGGTATTGTATAGTGTTACATAGTCACATCTAAAAATCAAAAGGTGCAGATAACGTTTGTTGGATTTCTATTTTTTTAAAATAAAAACCTTATATGACATTTTACCTCAGCCTCAATTTGTTCTTCAATTTGTTCTTAATTTTTAAGCAATTTCAGCCTCAGTGTTCTTATAAAATGTATTCATATAAAAAAAAAGTGTAATAAGAATAAATGCTGACGATAGTATGCATAGAATAATGCAAAAGATATATATCGTATAACTATGGTAAAGTAGAAAGATGGACAGTTGACAAAGAAACATTCATGGGTAGTACAGTAACAGACTTTAACAATAAAAGAAGGCTGAAATGTGGAGATAAAACAAAAACCAAGCAGATGAAATCAAAAAGTCTGTTGAAGAACTAATTATTGGATATACTGGCAGGCTAATAATTGTAAGGGATACTAAGAAGAAGGATGACCAGGAAGGCTAAGAAATGTTCATGGGTAGTAATAGACCTGAACAATACAGGCTAAAGTGAGCAGAAAATGACAAGACAAGGGAAACCAAGCAGATGAAATTAAAATCTGTTGATGGAAGAAAAATACTTTGATAACCAGGTCGACAAATGGCCAGGAGGGTAAAACATAGGTATATGAAATCACAAGGTTGATTATGGGAATGAGACATGAATTATGAACAAGACTGACAACAATAATCTTTTTAGTTTCAAAATCAATATAATGACAAGAAAAAAAAAAAAAAAAAAAAAAAAAAAAAAAAAAAAAAAAACATAAGACATAAGAGACAAAATTATTAGGCAAGCTAGAATAGGATAGCAGTGTAGTGTATTACAGTACTGTACTCCAGGCATTTTTCGAGTAGCGTTAATGAAATAAAGATATTGCAGTTTGGAGTGTGATGCAGAGTTCATATTTTTTTATCTGTATTGATATTTCCCATGGGCTTTATAATCACTGATGCTGAAGAAGTACCAATGATAGTACAAAATGTGCGCCTGTCAATAACAAAATGACTCAAACACACATCAACCTCTGTCGCTGATTTTGTGTCTGACATATTTCTTAATTAATTCAAAGGATGACCCAGTTAGTAAAACCTTGAGTTGGACATGCGTAGAGGCTACAAGGAAATCGAAGAAAACCGAAGGATGGAATCACACTGTACATTGGCATGAAAGTATAGTACAAATGGATTAGACACACTTAAAGAACAGTTACTGAGTTGTGAATAGGTCTTCTCCTACCAGGGGGTGGATCCACAGGGACCATGAGTGGCTGGTCCCAAAAAGAGAGAGAAAAATAGAAAAAAAAAAAAGAGAACAAAAATGAGGATGAATGAGTACAGTACTCCAAAACAAGCTAATTTTCAATTTTAAATTCTATCTACCTCTGTCTATGGTGAAGTACTTCTAAGCCAACATTTCAAACACTACTGGCTGAGCCCACCACCCCTCCCTCCCTCCCACCTCTGCACATCACATGGCACCAACCAAGATTTTTCTCTGGATCCACACCTGCCTACAGCTAATAAATAGTGCTCAGTAAATATAATAATGCAAGATAATCTAGTACGTCTGTTCCGAGATTCACTGCCAATAACATTAGGTGCTAATAATATCACTGAAAATATTAAAATTGCAGTATACAGTGTGATGGGATACAAAAGTTAATATTTCCACTTCATTGAGATTTCCCAAAAGGCATAATAAATGTGTTGACAAATTGTATAATATCCATCTCACACACAGATCACTGAAAATGTCATTAAAGGCAACTTTTGGCCATCTAAAAATAAAATTAGTTGGTAATAGTCTTTTGTTCTATTTTTATGTGGTATATCTGTAGAGTTTTGAGGTTCTTTTACTGTGTCCACCTCTAAAAATATCGAAATACTAATAGGAAAACCAAAGTACATGGGAAAAAAAAGTAGAAAGATTTCACAAGGTTCTGTACATTGCTAATTCATTGCCATATTGAACACATTGTTTAAATATAATTATTGCTGGTAGAGGAAGGTAGAAACATTTATGAAGTAGAATAATTACAATACACCAGCTGTTGATATAAACCTATGAATTTGCCATCAGGTTTTATCTACCACTGGAGAAGTCACAGCATGCAGTCTGTGATTTATAAAAAAATGGTTGCAGAATTTTTTCCTCCAAAGTACAGTATAGCTAACCAAATATTTTTTATACTTGGCCTTATTTTGAAAAAGCCTCCCTTGGACATCTTGGAGTTAATGAACCAAAAAGTAATAAATTCAGATGTATCAAGGTTTTACAAAATGGATCAATAACCTAAAGTTTAATGGGATCTTTAATTTCTATTGCATCAAGATAATTTACAAATTTGGTGAAATTTAAAGCTTTTTCTTAGGTTTTTCATTCCTCTCATGACAGATTGTGAGCGTACCACCTGCGAAATATCTATCGCAAGACTCAATTACTTTTCTTTATAAGAAATTTATATTAAAGACAATTTCATTATAAAATCATGTATTTGCTTTGTGTGTCTATTAACACTGCCTATAAAGTATTTTCTTTGAAAATTTGCTCGGCGGTTAATCCATCAATAATAAATTAAATTTGAGGGTACGCCTTGTTAAAATGTCGGTTATAAGGATATCCACTGGTTATTTTGCCTCAATGCTTTTTATGAGATTTCTACGACTGTCGTAAAAATATCTATTAAGAAAAATGTTTCAAGATCCAACAGGCCTAGACGAATAAAAGGTCAAAGGGCACCTTTATTACTCAGTTAATAAATGTGAACAGCAGTAAGATTAAGTATGGATGGGATATACTCAGTAAGCATTTCATTGATTTATATTTTTTATTATGTTAAAGAAGTAGGATTAACATGTAATGTAGGTTTAAATTATGTATTACGTATGTTGGAAGATCATTTACAGTTGTTGCATCTACACTTTGGAACAAACTTCCAGATTATTATCAAGAAAACACTGACCCCATAGAGTTTTTTAAAACGTTTCTAAAAACTCACCTTTTTTCGACTGTTTAATTTTTGCTGTATATAAGTGGTTTTCATGTGTGGTCTCACCTTTTCCTTACTTAATGTAACGTTATTGTCTGGGCAGTGCACGGCAGTGAAGCCACGGGCTTATACTGTGTTGGAAAGTGCCGGAGCCCAGCATACTGCCTTTTGTGGATTACCTGCGTGTAAATTGCCTCATTGCGACAGCGACGTTACTTTGACATCAGTGAGTGGGACCACCTGAATGTCACCATCTCCTACATCGCTGCTTATTTTAATTTTTTTTTAAATTTTATTGTTTATTATTATGTTGTTGTTAAGTGCCTAGAGGTTATTAACATTGGGCGCTATATAAATATTGATTATTATTATCAATATCATTATTTCTTGGTCCGTGTTTGTGTTCATGTTTATGTTAAGTGCACTGATCAATCTTCTTGTAATATGTTTTGTTATCTCCAAATGTTTTACTTACTGTATGTACTGTACAGTATATGGTACAAGTATTTTTAGTGTTTATGTAAAATTGGTATAAATTAAATTAATTAAAAATACATTTTTAATTAATTTTTTTCGTTAATACATTTGTTTAACCTAATGTTCAACCCCCTGGATCAAAATTTTGACTGTCTTGATATATTGTCGACAAATATTTTGGATGCGGATGCCCCTCCAAAAATTACTCACGCCCCTCAGTCGTACCCACAAAAAATCACTTGCAAGTAGTTAAAAATCACCTTATTTTGGGATTTAGCGCCCTCAACTGATCATCGAGCCCCCCCCACTTCACTTTCGTTCCACCCCATCAGCACCCCCATTTTAAAATTTCTAGATACGCCACTGACTAAAAATATATGGTAGATAAAAAATAGATACTTTACCTTTCCAATGTTTTGTTTCTGAATGTTCCTCATATTGTGATGTATTGCGGCAAGAAGAATTCGTTCCAAGTTTTCAAGTTGATTGAACGACGTTAAAGAATGCACGTCGCACACGCTAGTTGTCAGCTTCACACACTGTTCATGCAACTCTCTGTTGCCACAAAAATCAGACTCCTTTAACCTCTTTAGCAGTTGCAACTGACTATTTTCAGTGTAATGTATAATTCGACTAGGTTTTGCAATTTTTGTATCTTTAAATATACTGTTCACCGTTTGTCCAGGTTTCAGAACATATTTTCCGTCTACTGTTTCCTGCTTGATTTCTGATACATTGGAGCCTTCTTTACTCCAAAGAGGAACATATGTAATTTTAGGGTTTACATTGTCATGTGTGCCATTTTCCTCCGTTACAACGGTGGGTGATTGCACTTGTTCGTCCCTTGGCGTCAAAGGTGACGAGTTCTGAAATTCTTTGCTATTCAATTTTACAATTGTTGAATCACAATGACTTAGATTATTCAATCTGTCAACTCCTAAACCGAATATTGGTAAAAATGGTGAAACATCTGAGTAACCACCAGATGGCAGACTTTGGCCTTTCCCATATGTACTGGGAGAAGTGGCGGTTAGACTGGATACGGTTTGCGATGTCTGTGGCACTTGCTGATTTTTACGAGAGTTAAGAGGCATTATTCCAGTGCCATTGACTTCTGCAACATCCAAATACGGAATGGCGATGGGTACAGTCATACCGGAACTACTAGTCAGACCAAGTTTGGAAACATGTCTGTATTGATGGGTACCAAACCCGCCATTTGGATTAGCAAGACCCTCATCACTATGAAGCCGGTTCATCAACGCAATATTCTCATCCATTCTGTCACGCTTGCAACTCAAATCGAGCGGCTGGTCAACTTGAAAAGAGCCAGAAGATCTTCCGCTAGGATCGGTTCTTCCGCCAGGATCCTTCGCTTCTTGCATCACTGCTATCATTTTAAGCTTCTCTTTTTTTGGCACTCGTCCAAATCGCACAGCTGCAAGACAGAGAAAAAAGGAAATGTACAACTTGACCTAAATAATCAAACAATAGTAATAAGCAATGACAGAAAGAATGCTCTGTGTAGAGGCTAGTGTCATAACGTAACCACTTCACGGAGAGGATATCTCTGTACTTGAATAAAATGCTGTTTGGATACAGTACACGTATACTTGGCCAGCAGATTACACAGGATACACAAGATCTGCTCAAAACCTACTTTCTCTATATCCTCCTATTTAAAAGATAGTTTTTCCTTGGAGTATCTTGACACTGCAACGTACTATGATTGTCAAAATTAGGTCACCGATTGGAAACGTATGTGATTTACATTAAGAACTTAAAAACTAAGAAGCTAGGATAATATGATAATTCCAAATTTAATATCCTTAGAAAAAAAAACATATACACATTTTTGTTTTTCATTATTCTTTTTGACATTTTGAAGTGACCTTTTAATTGGGTGTAAACTTTTTTTTAAATTTCAATTTTTTATAAAGAATTTTAATGTATATTGTAAATCACATGTAATTCAGTGTTAATTTTACTGGTATTTGTGATCGAAATAAATTGAAATGAAATTAAACTTATTGATTGTAATTTGTTTTAAATAGAATAAGTATAACCTGTTTTTAATTGCAATTTGATGTTTTTTTTTGCAATTTGAATGAAATAAAAAAAATCATATTTTGCATTTTAGCCCAAAGTAAGACTGTCATTTTGAAAGTGGACCGCTTCATATCAGCTTTATTCTTGGCACCACCCTCTCAAGATTTTTGAAAAAGGAAATTGCCATTAACTTTTGTGTCTTCTGCCTACTTGCGAGCAAGAAAACCCTTTCCCATCATCTCTATACTTGTAAGACTAAAGACGAAATCCGGTTGGAGGAATGATGGAATATCCAGCATTGCTGCATATGCAAAAATAGAAATCAACAATTTTGCTTTTTCATGAGGTTGAAGAGTCACACAGCAGCTGCCTCTATTTATAATCCTATGAAATATGATCCCATGCCTAGGCCTGTCCTAAAAAGAACCAAAATAATGTGATTTAGCTATACCGCCACCGACTTGCAAGTTAAAAAGTAGCCAAAAAAAAAAATTTTTTTAAAAAATGAAAGCAATAGACTGGGAGATTACTTTTGTCATTGTAGGAGGATGGTGCTACATCATGGTGATCCCAGGGGCCCTTTAAAAGAACAATTTTATAAGATATGAATTTCCCATTTATCTATCTAATGTTTCACAGCAGACAATAGAAGTTCCTGCCTAGGTAGGCCGACTGAGCTGCGAACAACCATTACCAAGTGAGTTTGTTTAGTTGGCAGCGGTGGAATGGCAGCCTATATTTTCTTTGCTTCATGATATTTTACTAAACATTCAGCCTTATATAGAAGGCAACTCTCAAAGCAACAATATATTTAAAAAAAAATATTTATATTCTGCATGGAATACTATTTCCTTGAGATTGAGGGCGCCATTTACAATGACAATCCAGCAGGCAAAAACCCAAAAGGAAAGGTAAATTTACAGTTTGGATAACAGAAGTGCTCTGTTTCCAATGACGAGGTCAAGGGTTCAGCCATGGTGAAGGTCAGCTTCACCAGCTAAAATCATCTCATTAAATTGCAAAAGAACATCATAATGTACAGTACACAACTGCACTGATTGGTTCAACAACAACTCCATTCCCTAAGCCTCCATAATGACACTTCATTTATAGAGCACAGTTCCATCTCTAATTGGCGAATCACTTTGACTCGCTGCTGGATAGGAAACAAATAACTTTTATAAATTTTCATGATTTCCGGATCATACCATTCCAGTTTCGAATTGATAGCAGTGGCAAAATAAAGGTACTGAGTCCCCTCTCTTTTGCTACAAAGAACCCTGAACACCTCTCCCTTTACTTTTCCATCTGTTAAATATTAAATATTTATTTAAAGAATACGTTTTCTGCACAATGGAGAACAAAAGACCACACCTGAAGAGAAATGACAAAGTCTATTGGAATCTATCAAGGTACATGTGAATACTGTACTACTACAATAACATCTCCCAATTATATATGAACCTCCTATTGGATTCTCGATTTTACAAACCTGACATTGTGGCAATACGAACATGTTAGTTCTGTCATAAAATAAATATACATAAAAATAAATAAATAATTAAAATAAAATAAATAAATTAATTCAAAACTAATAATGCAGAAAAAAGGTTATGTACACTCTGCAGATGGAAAACGGCACCACAAGCAGCTCTAGCAAGAGATGGATACGTGCGCCTAATAAGATAACATTATTATTATTATTAAACTTTTCTACCAAAAACATTTAAAATTGTATTTTAAAAACCTAAAAAATGATAAATACCATATTTATTTGAATAAACACCCCACTTTGAATAAACGCCCACTCAAATAAACGTTGCCTCCAGGGCCCCATTTAGAATAAAACACCTCCCTCAAATAAATGCCCGGGTGTGTTTTATTGTTTATTGTTTCTAGAAAATTGCTAAGCTTAATTTTGAGAATGTGACCTGCTTTCGTTTCAGACACACTCCAGAACTCACCATAAAGAGAATATTGCAGTAATTACTAGGTCTGAGATCTGATGCAGCATAACCCCAATATTGCGGCTGCGATTAGTTCTGAACTTTTCATACAGAGCCATTGTTGGGAACAATATTAATAATAATAATAAATAGGATTGAAATATAGTGTCCTATAATAATCTCTCAGAGCAGAAATTACACACAAAAAATAACAAAAAACGAATTAAACAAAAGACAAATTACATATTAAAAATATGCTTTATTGGGCATTATTGTGATAATGTAGCTGTTAGATAGTGGCTATAGAAAAGTGTCTTTGCCAAGGTCACAAGCAAATAATAGACACAATTGTAGATTAGTGCCTAACACAAAGACAAATGAGATGGAAAGCATGTAGTGGTAAGACAATAGGCCTAGGTGCGAAAACTGTACATTTACATATAATGTAATTATCTCAGATTCTGTCTGATGACGAATATTATATAAGCTCACTGGAGGATTGGCCTATCTTTCCTCTCGGGTATGGCACCATTTTAAGAAGAAAAAAAAATTATAGTTGATATTATAATTAACACACAACGAAAAATAAAAAGCTGCATGCCATGTAAGTAGGCCTACACTCTTTTTTTTTTTTTATAAGAAAAGGTAACATTTTGCCCAGGCTCAGTGTTCTTATTTTTTGGCTGATTTCAGGCTCAAAATGTTCTTAATTTGTTCTTATTTTACCCACTTTTCAAACATAGAAAATACTTATTGTACAGCAAAAATGGGCCCTGAAAAAAATGCCCTGGAAAAATTGCCCCAGAAAAAAGGCCTGGTCAAAATGGCCCCAAATGACAGTACACATGATTATAGGGGGTATTACATAGTCACACCTACATTACTGAACATAAGGTACAGATATTTTTTGGGGTTTTCAAAAACTTCATTTGACATTTTACCTCAGCCTCAATTTGTTATTATTCTGTTCTTAATTTTTAAGCAATTTCAGCTTCAGTGTTCTTATAAAAAAAAAAGTGTATGTATCTGAAGTTCTCAGAAATGGTATTGAATAGTCTCTAATACCAGCCACAATGTGGAGATGTGAGTGCTCCCCCCGTCCCAGCTCCCCCGAATTAGTTACATAAGCTTGAATATCTCAAGAGGGTAAGGGTGACTGATAACATTTTATGGGGTCATCATAGTGCAATGCAAATACTGTACATGCTCCTCAATGCCAGCAGGTATAAAGCCCTTTCCAAACTATCAAATTTTATTTCACATGCCTAAATATGGTCATAATGACATCACAACACGACTATATATGGGCATACAATAGTTCTTTATTAAATAAAATTTGATAGTCTGGACAGGGCATTAAACTCATGCACACATTACTGTTTTCAATAAAAACGTGTAGGAAGCCCATACAATATTAAAGGCGCGTTTATTCATCAGATAATTAACATATCTGAAACCACAAAGCTGGTTACCTATGTTCATTTACTGAACTACCATAGATAATTACAAAGACACTGTCGTGCTATATATGTCTAGACTAGATAAGGCATCACACTGTTCAACATAAAATATAATTAACAGGATTGGTCTGGAGATGTACTGTACATACTGCATATGATCAATCATTTTAGAGCCTTTTTCTTAATCAACAAATTTACGAGCCAGCCTCCACTCTACTTCAAAGTCAGTTTTAATTGAAAGATAATGTATTTGTAAATTTTTTGTGTGGTTTGGGCAAGACTTGTTTTCTACCTTTTTTTTAGCAAACCCTCCAACCACGGTGATTTCAGATAAAAATTTTATATTTGGCTAGTTAGTGCACTCTCCACCACAAACAAAAATATAAATTTCTGAAAAAAAATATAAAAATTTTCATTTATTTATTTTTATTATGCCCTCCAAAATCCCCAAAAATAATTATATTTCCTTAATATTTTTAAAAAGTTTAAAGCATTTATTAATTTCATTATACATTGTTTATTTTTATTTTCTCCAAAATCATTTTGTAATATAATAAAAGACAATTTTATTCTTTTTCTTTGTCCTCCTCTGATGAAAACAAGGTATTAAGACACTGCAAATAGGAGGCGTATGGGAAGTTCAGTGCTGGCAGGCGATGCAGAGATTGTCGCTGGTTGTGTGCAGGCGGGTTGGATATTTTTAAGTTCACAGTGTTGTTGGTGGCTTTGTTTTTATTTTCTTTTGACAGCCTTGCATCATACGTGTAGTTGATATGCGCTTCAGCCCACACTGCTTTTGTTAACACAATCAACTTCATCCTTCTTCTATAGCATCTTATACAACATGTTTCTACTCCAGAATGAGTGAATATATATGGATGAATGAATGAACTTATTAATATTAAAATAATAAACTTTAAGATAAATATAAACAAATACATGCATGCATATATTACAAAAATAAATACATTTACAAATACATA